TGTCCTGGGAGGGAGGGTGGGGGAGTGTGGGTAAGAGCATCTCGGAGCCCCACTGCCTGGCTCTGATGCCACCCCTTCCCCTTGTAGCTGGGAGGCCTCAGCCGCTGGGAATCCACTTCCTTCCCCATTGAAGGGGTGGGTATCTGCTTCGTGGGGTTGTGCTAAGGATCAGATGAGTAGCTCACAGTAGGTGCTACGTAAATGCTCCCTATGGTCCTTCCTAGAACATGAATGATTGGGTGCCCATCGCCAAGGAGTATGACCCCCTTAAAGCTGGCAGCATCGATGGCACAGATGAGGACCCCCATGACCGCGCGGTCTGGAGAGCCATGTTTGCACGGTACACCCCCAACAAAGGCGTCACGGGGGACCCCCTCCTCACCCTGTTTGTGGCAAGACTCAACTTGCAGACCAAAGAGGAGAAGCTAAAGGAAGTGTTTTCTCGCTACGGAGACATCCGGCGGCTTCGGCTGGTGAGGGACTTGGTCACGGGCTTTTCCAAGGGCTACGCCTTCATCGAATACAAAGAGGAGCGCTCCCTGCTCAAGGCCTACCGGGACGCCGACGGCCTGGTCATTGACCAGCACGAGATATTCGTGGACTACGAACTGGAAAGGACTCTCAAAGGGTGGATCCCTCGGCGCCTCGGAGGAGGTCTCGGGGGGAAGAAGGAATCTGGGCAGCTGAGATTTGGGGGGCGGGATCGGCCTTTTCGAAAACCCATTAACTTGCCAGTTATGAAAAGCGACCAGTACAGAGAGGGGAAAAGGGAAAAGAGGGAGCGATCCCGATCCCGAGAGAGACACTGGGAGTCGAGGACGAGGGATCGGGACCATGACAGGAGCCGGGAGAAGAGGCGGCAGGAAAGGGAGCCGACCAGGGCCTGGCCTGAAAGTGACTGGGAGAGAGAGAGGGACTTCAGAGATGACAGGGTCAAGGGGAGGGAGAGGAGGGACAGAAGTAAGTAGAAGCTCATCACCCCCACCCAGAGCCCAGAGGAAGGTTCAGCAGAAGTGAAAGCGTGGAGAGATCTGTATTGCTTTTATACAGCTTAAGTCCAATGCTGAATAAAGATCATAATGCCCTGGCTGGTGTGGCTCAGTTGGTTGAGCATTGCCCCATGCACCGAAAGGTCGCCAGTTTGATTCCCGGTCAGGGCACATGCCCAGGTTTCAGGCTTGGTCCCCGGTAGGGGGCATGCAGCAGGCAGCCAGTCAATATCTCTCTCTCATCGATGTCTCTCTCTGTCCCTCCCCCCTTTTTTCTCTCTAAAAATCAATTAAAGAAACAAAAAACAACAAAAAAAGCTTACTGATGATAATGGGGCTTGGGCAAGTTTTCTTTCCAATCTGAAACCCAGATTCAAGCTGGATATACTAATGTTATGAATTTTACTTCATCCTAGAGTTCTAAGGACACCTTTTTAGGAAGCTTGAGAAACAATTCTGTACTCTTGCCAGCCGCTGTAGGGAAGGGTGTGTGCGAGGAGCCACCCGTCTTTCAATCGGCCATAGATCATTTGTTTTGAGAATATGATTTCCTCCCATCTATTGGAAATGACCACTTTGAGGGCCTGACAAAAGGAGGGTGATGACTAGAAATTATTTGTGTTGATATGTGACCCCTGGGAACCTGAATCTGGTCAGAATACGTTGTATCTTTTCCATTTTATGTCCACAGTGCAAGGGGGTTGCTGAATTGAAATAAAAATGGTGTAGAAAAGTGGATCTGAGGAGGATGTCCAGAGGCTTAATACCAAAGCTAGTCTGAGCAGTGACTCGGGTTAGCAACCAGCTACTCTCGAGCATGTTACCCAATCTTTTTAAAGAAAATTTTTTTTAATTGACTTTAGAGAGAAGGGAGAGAGAGAGAGAGAGATAGAAACATCCATGATGAGAGAGACTCATTGATCAGCTGCCTCCTGGATGCCCCCTACTGGGGATGGAGCCCAAAGTCCAGGCATGTGCCCTGACCGGGAATTGAACCGTGACCTCCTGGTTCATGGGTCGATGCTCAACCACTGAGCCACGCCAGCCACTGTTACTCCATTCTTGAGCTGAATGCTGACTGCCTTTCTTTTTGTCTTTTTTTCTTGGATGGGAGGCTGGCATTTAAAAAGAAACACCAAAGTTGCAGCGCTAGGGGGACTATGGTCTATGGCAGCCTTCCAGCCCTTTGAAAAGATAAAGCTTAAGAAAACTGAGAGCGAAATGAAAATGGAGATAAATCAAAGACAGGTTTGTATCTAGTTCTGATGGACAGACTGGCCGCTTCCCCTTGATCCTCGGGCCTTGGTTTAAGAACTAGGTATACTGACCTCAGCTGCTAAGGGCTTTGAATAAGCACCACGCTGTTCACACGATATTCATAAAGGTGACATTTAGCATTTTTGTCTTGAAAGTTCAGGTTTTTAAAATTCAAGCTGTTTCGTGCAGAATAAATGTCTCATTTAGCATCAAGACTCGTGCATTCATTACCAGGTTTTTGCACTGAGAGTGTGAATCTCATTGTTACCTAGGGAGCCTGCTAGGTCTTAAAACTGCTGTCAGCTGTTAGAACAGTTTTAGAAAAATATGTTCTTTCCTTTGTAAATTTCCAGTGCAGAATTTTACCGTCGCCCGCCTCAGAAAAGAGCCCTGCAGGAATACCTCCCTGGTTCTGCCCACGCTTCATTTACAGAGTGCCCCGTGGTATGGGGCCAAAAGCGTGTTACAGGCCAGAGTCAGCAGGAACGTCAGCCGAATGAATGGTTCACGTCAGGGAGGCGTGTGTTGGGAGACGGCATGAGGAACCAGTTCAACTGAGGTGTTGTCAGCCACGAGTACCACAGTAGGGATGGATTAAAAACCACGCACCCTCAGACCCCACCCTTGGACATGCAGGCTTAGTCTTGTATAGACCCTGGTCAGTTTAAAAAAAAAAAAAAA